TATGTCCTGTTCTACCTTGAAATTTTTGCTTTTTTTTTTTTCAATTTGAAAGGTGAGTCGTTTCTTATGTTGTTAGTAGCGTAAAAGTTTATTAATTTGTTTACAGGACTCTGGCGTCCATCTGGTTGTGGTGGTGGCGTGTACGATTTGAAGTCGCTTTCGCGTAGCTGAAAACAACTTGTATATTTGTTGTACTTATTCTTTAAATGTATTAGTTTTTTAGTTACTCTATTGAAATTTATTTTTTTTAACTCTTATAAAGTTTCACTTTTTGTGGACTTTTGCTGTATGTATATGTTGTTTATTCGTAACTTATGGTTAATCAATAGTCATCAAGGTTATGTGATTTTAGCTCTGGTTCTTATGTTGAATTTTTCTTGGTAAATGTTTATCTTTACGCGTTTTTTGTAGTCAGGTTAGCCGTGAAAAATTTTTGGTGTGGCAGTAAATTTGTTCTTTTTTTATTTACTTAAAATGCTTTTAAAATAACGGGGAATGAATGAATTTCCAAGGGACGTAATGAGCTTTGATGTAGGGGTTGATTGTGTGTAAGGACGCTTGCACATGCTGTTATGGGCAGAGTGGAAGTGTTCTTTGCTTTCGAAATGGGTATTTTGTCCGCAGGTTTAGCAAAGGAAAAATCTTCCGTGATTGACAAACCTGTATCTGCTCATCTTCTGGGAGGGATGAATCAAAGGTGGACGCTCTTTCAAATGTTGGCTCGCGTCGCTCATGAGTGGTAACGGTTTGTTTTTCCTGATAATAGGAAATTTATTTAAATAACCAGCAAAATGAGTAGAACTTTGAGTAGTGTGCAGCGGAAGGACATTGGGGTTGATAGAGTGCCAAGAATTCATCTACGCATACCAGATAGATTTTTTCTGTCTCACTTTGTAGTTGGTCGAAAACGTCTGCCGAGTCGATATCCTTGTCTGTTCTTTTCAGCAGGGGGTGAATATTGTGGTTTCTAGAACAGGGCGGGTATAGTTGAAAACTTGTAATGCTGCCTTTCATTCAAAGTTATTAGTTTAAATGAGCGGGAGTGTTTAATCAACATTACGGGAAACAATAATGAAGAAAACCTTTGGTCTAGCTTTTCAATTGTTTCTCGAAGGTCGTCAACTACTCGACCAGGATTCCCGTGCTGTGCTCTAAGTTCATCTTTTAGTTCTCTTACTCTATAATGTTTAGTTTTGATTTAATTGGTTATAGTTTAATTCTTAATAGCGTTCTAGCGGTACTCAGTCACATAACTGGTGTAACAAGCAAGTCTTGACAGAGGTTTTTGTAAGACGCTTAAGACTAGGAGCCTACTGTTTGCATAGTATATTAAACCCCCCAGTGCAAGCTGATCTACTTGATAACAAGCTTCAACCAAACGCTTGCTTTTTCCGCATTTCTTCGAGAAGTGCTACACTTTCATGGAAATGTTGAGCGATGTCGTCTTTATCTTTCTTCATTTGCAGGTTCTCATCATATTTTTTTCTGATGTCTTCCATTAGCCGCTCGGTTATTGTACTGTAGTCTCTGAACGAGCGCTTTTTATTAAGAACTGTTTAATACTTTTTGGTTTAGCAGTTTAGCAAATTTTCAATAAAGCACGGTGTTTAAAGTAAGCATACTGTGTTTTCTGTTCAACTTCTGGCTTTTCTCGCTCTTCTTCTTGTAATTTTTCTTCCAGTTTTCTCAAAATCACTTCCATTCGTAAATAGTTTGCCTAAAATGGAAACCATTCAACATAGATGGACATACCCCTGGAAAAGGAATAACAGTTGCGCCTCTTAAAACTTTTAATGCGTTTGTAAGAATTCCTCTTTCTTTGTTGTGAAAACTGAATGTGGCTTTAGTTTCTATCTTCAAAATTAGTTTTTAATACAGTTTTTAAACCGTTCTGTCATTGGAAATTGAAAGAACATACGTTTTCAGGGCGCTCTTCAAGTCTTCTCTTTTCCTCTTGTAGGTCTCGTATAATTTTGCTTTGTTTTGCCAATTCTATTTCGGCTTTTTGAATGCTTCAATAAATCAAACAGGGCTTAAGTTAGAGTTACTCAATAAGGCGTAGAAAAAATGGTGCTTGTAATTGTAAAATTAGCACAATTTCAAGCCTCATAATTCTCGAAGTAATTGTTGAATAACATCAGCAACGGCTCAGCTGCTTTTAAGATAACCTTTTAGCTAGTGTGAGAAGAACACTTACTCAAGTTCACTTGGACAAGCCTTAATTGCTTCAATGCACTCTTCTAATATCGAATATTGCCCAAGTTCTTCTACCATTTGTAGTAGCTGAAAACAACCTAATGACATTTTGAGAGTTAAGATAACTTACTCTGGAAAATTTTTTACCTAACTTTAAACTTGCTTGGTCCCCCGCAAATACTGTTTCCTAATAAAAATACATTACTTGGAGCGCTCCTGGGACAGTTTCTTGCTTACCCTGCTGATTTCGTATTTCTGCCCTTCGTATTTTATCCATTTTTCTCCCTCTTCTTTTATCATTTCCTGGAAACATGCTTTTTTTTCGTCGACCGTCGCAGCCACAGTAGTTAATCTATAAAAACAAATGGACGGCCAGTTTTGTGTCTAACCTTTTGATAATATACGCATAATTAAAAAAAATGATGTACTTATTGAGGGCGTCATCCATCCATCGTTTGTTATCTTCAAGTGTTTGTTCATATTCTTCTTTTTTCTTCTCAAGTTGATCATTTTTGTTTATTTCGGCCGACAGATTTTTCTGAAGGTTTTCAATGATACCTTTTAGATCTCTGTAAAAATTTTTTGACTTGATTTGTTTGCCGCGTAATATTTGTTTTGAAAGGTCTTAACGAGGAAAAAATACCCTATTTCTTGGTTCTTCTTTCCAATTTCTTCCCGAACCTCTTGATCGCTCGGCGCGTACTGTAAATTGATTTAATTTAATCACTACCTGGAAGACATCGCAGGCTTGTCATAAATTATTACAGTTCCATGTCAAATTACATATTTTTTTTGCTGACTGTTGCAGATTTTTTACAATTTTGACAGGCAGCATAATATATTTCTTGGCTACAAGAACAAAAAAATCTGTTTGAAAAAAACTTGGCAATTTGAACCTGGCGGAATTGAGAGGAACAGTAATTTTTCTCAATTCTTCAAGTTTTTAAAGTTATAACTTTGTTCAAGCTAAGTCAGCTTTCTAATGTTTTTCTTTCATTTGATAGCAAATTTTTATCTTTGAACGGAAACCACTAGTCGACTATTTACTTTCAATATACTATGGCATAACAAGATCAAAAAAAATTAGAATGGTTTTGCCAAAGAAATTCAATCTTAAGAAACGTAATTTTAATTGAATATGTGGCTTGTATAATTGTGAAATTACAGGGTATTACTATTCGAGTACCAAAACGCAAAAAAAAGCATTCAAAGATTTCCAAACTCCAGAATGCCTCTTAAGAATTTTTTCCTTTTTTAGCCGGTAACTGACGGCAGAAAAAGTATGCTTGCCAGATACAGTCGTTTCACATGCTTTATTTCAAATGTTCAATTTCTTAAAGTTCTAATTCTGTTTTAAGTACACAAGGCATTCAGAACTTTTTAAGATCCCATTACATAACTTGCAAACTAGTGGTTGCAGTATCTTGAAGCCTCGCTAATTGACTTAACGCGCATTTGAACAAAAAAATCCACTTCAAATATTTATACTTCAGTTTTCAGAGTTTTCGCGGAGAGCAACCCGCGTGCCGCGCGGAGCTACTGATGTCTCCGATCAGCTGCACGTTGTTGACGTGTCAAACAACCAAATTCCTTCCGTCAACGGGCTGTTTCGTTTCAGTTGCGACGATAATTCCTGAGTTCTACTTGGAATTATGCGCGAATAATTAATGTTTAAGGAGTGGTAAAGCTTACAGTTTTTTAATAAGCAGTAATGAGAAAAGGTTTTCAGACGGTGCGGAACATTTGCAATTAAAAAAAACTGCCGAAAACGAACAGTTAATGAAGAAGAGACTGGTTGAAAGAAGCTATACAAGGATTAACAGTGTAATGAGAAAAACAAGAGGGGTCTAAAACAAAATGCACTATAAAAACTGGCATTAAAAACTTGAAATTGGTTTCTTTCAATTAGAATAATAACGCAAAACTTTTTGCAACTTTTTTGCACACCAGGTAAGAGAGGCTGTAAGCCCTTTACGTAAGCATTTTCAGTTTACATAACAGCACGGTAAGCTTTTGGCAAAAGATAACCTGTAGAATTTCTTAACATCTGTAAATAAAAACCTCGATGCAGAAAACAGCAAAATCTTCTCAACTTCAGTGTGGAGTATATAAATATAGCAATATACACATATATAAATATGTAAAATATATGTATATATTATATATTATATATTATATATTATATATTAT